GAGTGTGTGTGTGTGTGTGTGAGAGAGAGTGTGTGTGTGTGTGAGTGTGTGTGTGTGTGCGTGTGTGTGTGTGCGTGTGTGTGTGTGTGTGTGAGAGTGTGTGTGTGTGTGCGTGTGTGTGTGAGTGTGTGTGTGTGTGTGTGAGAGAGAGTGTGTGTGTGTGTGAGTGTGTGTGTGTGTGCGTGTGTGTGTGTGCGTGTGTGTGTGTGTGTGTGAGAGTGTGTGTGTGTGTGCGTGTGTGTGTGAGTGTGTGTGTGTGTGTGTGAGAGAGAGTGTGTGTGTGTGTGAGTGTGTGTGTGTGTGCGTGTGTGTGTGTGCGTGTGTGTGTGTGTGTGTGAGAGTGTGTGTGTGTGTGCGTGTGTGTGTGAGTGTGTGTGTGTGTGTGTGAGAGAGAGTGTGTGTGTGTGTGAGTGTGTGTGTGTGTGCGTGTGTGTGTGTGCGTGTGTGTGTGTGTGTGTGAGAGTGTGTGTGTGTGTGCGTGTGTGTGTGTGTGTGTGTGTGTATATATGATAAAACTTGACCAAATTTAAGTTATGAAAAAAGTTATTTCTGAATGTTCGCTGAATGTTTATTTAAATGTTTACATTTATATAAATTTTTTGGTTCTACAAACAATAAGGGAACATTCCAATTTTGCAAACATTCTGAGAATGTTACATTTGAATGTTCTGTGAAGGTTCTGAAACAATTAGCAACATTTAAAAAAACAACAAAAACATTTCAGAAATAAAATATTCCATATACAATCTATAAATAATGTGTTTGCGCTCACGTTTTGAGAACAAAACCAGATAACTTTGAACAAACGTTCTATTCACATTACTGGAAAAACATTTGTTCATAACTTTGAGAGAACTTTGCCAGAACGTTACTTGTTAGCTTTGCACGACCAGCTGGGAACTGGTTTGTTTCTGGTCTTACATGATCTGCTAGACTACTACCTACTGTCCTAAAAATGTATTTTTATTGGTTGAGCTAAAACTTCCACACAACCAAAGAAAGGCCTGTTTGTTAGAAAAAACATCTGTGGTGCGGTTCTTTCGTCGGCAGGTGGCGCTAACACTTCTGAAGCTGCGGTTTACAGCCGAATGAAGCTCTCTGTGACTTGTGTGTAATTCTGGGCCCAGAAACCCTGGAAACATAAAGGGCCCAACAGACAGCCAAGCATAAAACCGCAGTTTAACTAGAAGCTAAATGAAGGGACTGCTCAGACAGGACAGAGAACGCGTTCTCCTCTGATTGCTTGAATATGAACGCTTCAGTTAAACGAACCTCAGCTCAGATTAGGAGAAGTGAGAGGGTCTGCCTGTGAAAGCGGTCCAGTGTTTGTGTTTGCTGGTGCTGGTGGCACACAGAGACCCGGCCCTGCCATCTGGATCGCATTTCAGACAGCAGGAACCGAATATGTGCGGTTAAAGTGAGTCACGGCAGGCGTTACGAAACACTCCCAGAATGCCGAGTGCAAACGCGCGGGAAACTCAGCTGAGTCAAACCACGGAAACAAGTCATTAAAACTGAATGTGATGTATTGAGGAAAGGGTTAAACATCTGTTTTTCCAGAGTTAATCTTACAGGCACCATAGCAGCAGCAAACCTTCCTCCAGTAACCTTCATACTATAGAACATTTGTTCAGTCATCTGGTCTCAAAACGCTGGTGTATCTACATCATTCATGGAATGTTTTTTTTCTTCTTTAAATGTTTTAGTTGGACATTCATCTAATGTTTAAAAAAAAAAAGTTACTACTTGTAATGTAACGTTCCTATAATGTTTGCAAAACTAAATGGAATGTTCCTTTAACGTTCGCATGGATGTTTTGAATGTTCCGAGAACATAAAGAAATAATGTTTTCATAAATAAATGGGAACGTTAGCAAAACAAAGCTGGGAATTGTGCACTTGTTTTTGGAAGTTCTGCTTGTTTTGCCTTATTATGGGTGTGTATGTGTGTGTATATATATTCACTCAAACACGGGTGAAACGGTGTTTTAAAGTTCAGCGCAAGACATTTTTTGAATCATTTTTAGAAGCGCAGGAATATGCAAATATAACTTGCATGTATATCTGTTTTGCGGAGAGCCCAGTATAAATAAATAACAGCAACATAAATGTAAAATGGCCAAAATAGCAAACACAAAGACACATACAAGATGAAATACAATTAAAAATACGTTATATCAATACTCGGATGCACAACTGAAGATCCACCAGTACATATTTCTTGCTGGTTATTACTGACTCATTCATTTCTGCAAAACGACATTCGCTGTCCAGGACCAGGCTTGAGTTACTAGTTTTGTTACAAATACATGTGCTTTTTTAATATGTTCCTCTTGTAGGTGAAATGAAAGCAGCCATTGGAGAGTAGACTAATGACCCAAAAACGTCTCAGGTTACTTATGTAACCATGGTTCCCTGAGTAGGGAACGAGACACTGCGTCCTCTAGGGGTCGCTATGGGGAACCTAGAGGACGCAGTTCGAAGTTCCCATGAAAGGGAACGTCTCAGGTTACTTATGTAACCATGGTTCTCTGAGTAGGGAACGAGACACTGCGTCCTCTAGGGGTCGCTATGGGGAACCTAGAGGACGCAGTTCGAAGTTCCCATGAAAGGGAACGTCTCGGGTTACTTATGTAACCATGGTTCCCTGAGTAGGGAACGAGACACTGCGTCCTCTAGGTTCC